AGTCCCTCTTGGAACAGTAAAGTAAAAACATGGTTACCCAAGACCATAACTCAGCAATACGGGTATCTCTATCGTCTCTATAAGTTTACAATACTAGAGACATATAGACTGCACAAAAACTATTTTAATCCAGAACATTCCATAATTCCCAATTGATTTCCCTGCTGCATACTGTACTGCATCTCCACCAATCTAATTATGATTCATATTAATAAGCAAGTCAGCTATAGATTTCCAAAACTAGCAGTAATCTTATAATTAATGTTCTATAGCAATCATCTTCACAGGGTAAACTGATGAAAAATATGACAATACTCATTCTCATTTGAGGCATGTTGTGGCGAAATGGCTAAGTTGTTGCACAGTCCAGTATTGAGAAAATGAGCTATAGAATATGGGAGCTCAAAAAATTACCTAAAAATCCAAATTTGTTTTTCACTATAGATCAACAGTTTAATGTCTTATTAATCATGTCCCAAAGTATTAGTTCTGGAAGTGGTTTAACAAATTGTTTATTTAACAACAAATAGTTCATTCTAAACCAAGGTATGCATAACTTTGAAAGGCAATTACTCAAAATCATGTTTATCTTGACTCCAAGAATAACTCTACTTTCACTTTCCAATAACTTAGCTTGAAATGTCCAATTTGAATGAATGACCCCTCATTTTAAAGATCACATACTCAGGTATCTGAAAATACCAATAACTTGAATTTCAATTTTTGCTACAACTTGGCCATTTTGCCACAACATGCCTCATTTTATCATCAAAAATAATTAATTCATTTTAATGTATAGTACAGTACATACAGACTGTAAAGTAAAGCCTGCATGGAAAATACTGTATATCTTCCGCGCAAAAATTAGGTCTAGAAATCCGTCCGCGCATTTGGGAAAATAAGGGCCGATTGACTTAATCTTAATATGTAACCAAAGTATTATTCAGCATTTAGGATTCTGCGCACCTATTTTCCTAGTGATTTTTCAGCGCAAAGTTGAGCCAGTTTTTGAGGTATCATCCGCACTAATTAAAAAAACTTTACAGTACAGGTAGTACATAGAATATAATTATCAAGTTTAAAATTATAATAATGACAATAATCATCGTCATTTCAATATTTGGTTTCAATAGAGTTTGGTTTCCCAATCTTGAGGTCGGGGTTTCAATCCCTCGCTGTGCATTTCACTTGTGTCCTTGTGCAAGGCACTTTATCTACATTGCTTCTCTCCACCCAGGAGAATAAATGGGTACCTGGTAGGGTTAAATGCCAAAAAGCGCTGATGTAGCATTAAGTGATATATATTAAATATAACATATTATTATCATTTCATTTTAACGTACAATACATAGCTAATAATTATCAAGTTTAACATTATTATTAATATTTCTAAATTTAATGTTTGTTTTACCATATTTTTAAAGGCTTATCCCAGAAGGTTGTCAGATATTCACAGCCCTATTAATAATGAAATAAGACACTGCTTTATAAACGTTTTTTTTTGTATAAATCATAGGCCTACTAAATTTTGATAATCGTTAATCATAAATTCTATAAATTAATGCAATTAGTCTGTATCTATTGAGCTCTGTCCAGTTTATTAAATTTTCTTGGACAAAAAATTTTTGTATGCCCATATATAGTCATGATGTGCCTATATATGGTCATGGTATGCCTATATATGGTCATGATGTGCCTATATATGGTCATGATGTGCCTATATATGGTCATGGTATGATGTCCAAATTTAGGCACATGTCACTTGTTTTTGTCAAACAAAATTTTGATTTGACATGGATTTATCAATAATGCTAGTTGTTGAAGCTCTAGATACAAACATATCCACTCCGGAGGTACTTGACACTATGAATCAATTTTAACCTTTATATGTTAAATTTCAAGTAGGCAACATTACCATGTAAGAATATCAGATCTCAACTATTTTTAGCATACACTTTATGACATGATTATGACCACTAATCTGTAGAATTAAGCAATAATTAATTTAATGAACACAACAGGCACACAGCCATCTCCACTGAAAACCCTCGGCAGTCACTGACCTTTTGTTTGGTATTAAAAGATATGCACTGAACATTTGAAGAGCAAACGAGTAGAGAAAGCACAGTATTCTTCTTTTTCATATTTAATTGTTAATTAACCTTACAGTCAATACAATTGTCATAGTGCCACTCAACATCACATCCTTCCATAGTTATTGGCACTTTATAAATCCTTGTTAATTGATTGATTGATTAATGTTCTTTTTGAATGATCAATGAATGATACTGCAGGCGTGCATACAGTCAGCTACGGGAGGACGTCCACTACCCAGTAGTACCCAGGCAAGGATTGTTTGGTCTGTTATCCACACAATTGAGAGAGCAAATGCATCTATTACCTTCAGGAGCACTTCTATTTCACGTATATGTAATATTAGTATGAACTTCTATGACTTTCATGGCGTAACTATCATACATACTACTTAAAAGCCCCTTCTCTGATTGACATTATAGCAGAAGTGAATTTTGAATGAAAATGGCATGAAAATGTGAAAATTTCCACAAAAAAAACCTCCTAGTTTAGGAAATTACACAAATAATGTATCAAAATTAAGGTAGCAAAACACGCAAAGGGAATTTATATACCGTAGGTCACTTTGCTTGATTGGTGAGATTGTACATACTGTTGTTTCAGAGGAGACACGGAAAATACCTTTGACTTGGTTTTTTTTTTTTTTTTTTTTTTTTTTTTTTTTTTAAAAAAAATTAAAAATTTTTTTTAATTTTTGTTTTTATAATATTTTACCTTTTTTTTTAATTAAATTTTTTTCTTTTTTTACTTTATAGAATTTTTGTCATGGTTCAATAAAAAATTATTAAATTTTGGTGACGATCCAGAGTAGGGTGTGGATATGAAGACTATTCATAGGGAACCAGATATACCAAAGACTGACCAACTCATCTGAAAGAATCCTTTTGGAAAGGTTAACCAAATTACAAGGAAGAAAATATCAAACTTTGATAAATATCTGTCTCTTATACACATCTAGATGTGTATAAGAGACAGATATTACTGGAAAAAAAACATTTTATAGAGCTCTAAAATTCAAACAACAAAAACCTAGAAATGTTTGTAATTCGAGACAGTTGTGCATTTCGCTTGTGTCCTTCAGCAAGACACTTTATCTGCATTGCTTCTCTCCACCCAGGAGTATAAATAGGTACCTGGGGGGGAGGGGGTTGCCTGCTCCTGTGCAGCTGATTACTAGCAGCAACACTTAGCATGTGGACCCAATGACCAGGGAAAAGAACTGCACTTTATGACCTCAAAAAAGAGGCGCATTATAAATGCCCATACAAGTACCAGTACAGATAACAAGAACCATTTCAGACAGAAACGGGGAAACACCTAAAAATTCCCTAATGTAGAATGCAAGTTTCAAATTTCAAAATAACAAACTTTCAGTACAGTAGGTGAATCCTCATAAGAAGTTATTGTGCCTGTTCATGGGCATAGATTAGAGGGAAAGGAAGGGGGTCAGGTGTAGCCTCAAAATGCAACTGTATGTATATGTGCACACTATGTAGAAAATCTTTGTGAATAAAAAAAAACGCGGTGGCTAGAGATACGGTACCGTATCGGAACTTCCGATTGCTAAAGGTACGGTAAATAATATTACGTCATGATTAGCCAATAGAAACGCCGATACATGCCTGACGTCATTCAGTGCACTGCTGCTGCAAGAGTAGTGAGTGTGTGTTTTCGTTTCGTTTTAGCAACGATCGAAGATAAGAAATTTCGTTCGTTCGCGGGTGTTGTTGACAAGCTGTGATTAATATTCTGTAGCCCGAGGCCCTATAGCAAATAAAAAGGATAGCAGTTTGACATCAAGCGACTGAGTAAACTATTTTAATAGTAGAAGCCAGGCCTAGGCCTTAGCTACCGGGCCCCTACTACTGCTGTGCATACTAATTCCCTGTAGGCCTATTCTATTATACTACTATCACAAATAAAGTTTACTCTCACTGATAATTACAATCGCCATGTTGCTTGGTTGGCTATTTCAATCAGCAATAATAACTAGTGCCTACTATTCTAGGCTTAGGCTAGGCCCCTAGTAGTAGCACTACAGTACTAGGCCTAAGCCTAGCCTAGTAGTACGCATATAATAAGCATCGGCCCCTAGGCCTAAGCCTAAGTAGACAATTCGACTCTCCATAAAATACACAAGAATAACAGAAAGGACTTTTAACCCAAACAATGTGATAAGCCCCAATCGAAGTACATGAAATGGGTCTATTATGACATAAATTTGATCGTAACTGTTCACACCACACGTTTCTCATGACGTAATATCATTTACCGTACCTTTAGCAATCGGAAGTTCCGATATGGTACCGTATCTCTAGCCACGGCGTAAAAAAAAAAATGGGGACAACATTGGAGCAAAACCTGTACTGTATCGATACAACTGAAACTACTGTTCACACAACATGCAAAATTATTTTAACATGATAATTTCTTTTCCAGATTAAAATACAAATTATATGTGTACCTGTACTCTTAAGCTAAAATTTCCGTTTTTTAATGTTGTGTTGTCAAAACAAAGTATATTTGAGCTATTTTTAATATGTTTGGTGTAATGGATACAAATCACGCACCTCAATATTGGCCAACTTGTTTCAGTCCACTTTTAGGTATTCTGCAAATTTATGCATAGACATATGTTCTTACGTTGTGTTTAGGGTGTTTTCTGCGTGTCCACGAAAACATTGGAATTTAAAAAAAATTAACAGCCTTCTACATCTTGAACTACAATTTTAAAAACTTCCTGCCATTGAACATGACACAAATTGTTTTTTAAATAATCAAAAATGCCAAATAAAAATGAGGGGAAAAAATGAAATGTAGGTGTAATTTAATCATACCAACTGCTGAAAGATGTAAAAGCTCCGAGTGTGTATACAGTAGGATTGAAAAAGAATGAAAATACTTACATGCAATATCTATGGCTAAGCATCCCGTAAACATCGATCCGGTCACAAGCATCAATTGCAAATAACATTGACATCCAACCAGTTGTAAACCATGTTTTTGCGTCTTTCCTACAAATATAATAATAATAATAAAAATCACTAAACTTTCACCACGTTTGGGATAAATTTAACTCTTCAAATATTACAGAAAAGGTATGTTTTATTTTTGGCAATGAAAATGAATTTTTTAGTTTAGTTGTTTTTTCTTTCTCATTGAACGCACCAAAATGTTGTGTGCCACTGAAACAAAAGTGTATGTTCAGTTGAATAAATAAATAAATAAATAAATAATAAATAATAATAATAATAACAATAATAATAATAATAATTATTATTATTATTATTATTATTATTATTCTGGATTTATATAGCACTTCACAATGTAACAACCTCAAGGTGCTTAACAACAACATAGAGAAGAATAAACCATAAACGAATGTACCCTTAATTATTTATCCAATAAATAAGTTTAGAAATACTGATATTAATGAATAGTAGTTTATCAGACTAAATTTTCAGAGCATTGATAAAAAAAAAAAAAATAATGATATCATATAATTTGTATGTGTAGAATTCTGTACAATATATATTTTTTGTGAATTCTGATGTTTCCAATTTAATGTTACTTTTACTCCCATTTTTCTTGTCTTGTACTAATGGTTGTTGGTTAATGTTTCAAATTTTTTAATAAAGTATTTTCGTAAATTTCATGTAATTCAGCAAAGGCTGGGATTTGAATTTTAGAAGGAATTGAAACAGAGAAGTGGTTTGGCCCAGTGGAAATGTTTGTTTCCCAACATCGGGGTTGCAGTTTCAATCCCTCATTGTGCATTTTACTTGTGTTCTTGAGGAAGTTTTCTACATGGCTGACATCAGTCTACTCAGCCGTATCAACCTATCAAATACACACACACAGGATAGATTTTAAAACTAGAAATTGCAAATTGCAAGTGAAGTGCTGCGAAGTACAACTGCATATAAATGTTCTTCGAACAAAATTATTTATGCTAGTCAAGTGAAAATAATGAATAATAAAAATATAACAAATAATATGAGACACGACCCATTGTCTATATTAGAACACTTCTCATTGGGTAACAAAGTCGTAATTTTTCATTTTTGTCAAAGTGTGTCTATAGTGGTGAATTATGGTTTAGGTTTTTTTTAATAAAGTTTAAAAAATTTCTATGTATGTGGAAAATGTAGTTGATTACCAAAGGTTACAATTTTTATTTTGAAGAGTGCATGGTCATACACATCTAGATGTGTATAAGAGACAGGTTAACCACCTCTTACTGATTGTTTTGTACCATTCCACTAAATTTCATGATGATCTATTTCAAAGTTTTTGCGTAATCTTGCTAACAGACAGACAGTTTGACAGATAGATAGGGGTTAATACATAACTTTGGCTTAGGTACTAAATCAAGTAAGAACATGTTGAGCCGTGAGTTGGAGCACGATATTCTGAATACACTATTGAAAATGATTCATAGTTTTAATTAACGCCTTTTAGTAAAATACTATGTTCCATGCGTCTTGTAATATACTGTTAGCGTTGTTAGTGGTTAATATTTCAGTGGGGTTATAACTTTACGCACGCACAGATAGAATACCAAATGCAAGAACCAACGGGAAGTCACGAAAACCCCCCCCAAAACAGAATGGCCGTATTTTGAGATGATGAACAAAATTTTTGGCGATAGACCCATTTCTTGTCCACCACAAACTGTTGACACGTCGACACGGCTCTGAACACCAGTGGAACTAGTAGTAGTAAGTCCGTAGGCTATTTTTTTTTCCTTTGTTTTTTTGTAATTTTTTATTTTCCCAGTTGGCTAGGCTCTAGTTTCTAAGGCCTGGGTTTTTTTAGAATTGGTTGGAGTTCGAGCGTAGGCAAGACGAGGTAATTCGTTGTTGAATTGCCTTGTTGGGCTGAGGAAGGCTAAGCGGTGAAGTGTTTGTTTTGTTTACATGAAAGGCCTATATCTTACGGTCCGTATCCGAATAACTTGGGGTTCGTAAACGAACGATCTAAGAACCTTAGATTCAGCATTCCTAGTAATTTCTACAGAAGAGAATGGTAACATGTTCATTTAATTATGATTTGCAGTACATACTTTACTGTCAATCTATATTAAGGTTAATATGGAAAGAATTCATGTCGTTATCATGTACGTTAATATCCATGTTGATTGAATGATGGGATATAAGTTATGTACTGTAAATAAAGTTCAGATGAATGACTAAATACAACAGTGGTATTGTCCTGGGAATTGACATGTTCCAAACCATGTTAATAATTTAATAATCAGAACAATTACAAGTTGGTTGTTGTGTTTATTAAGTAGCCAGTTCAGAAATGTAAAAGTACAATATAGTGTAATGTCTAATACTGATTTCACACTATCAAACTTTCTATGTGTGATTTCCACATAGGTATGGCTACCTATGGTAAATTATAATCTTATAGTCAGGTTCTGGAGGAAAACAATTTTTCGATATGTTGTCGAAATGATTTTTCTAAGACAGAAAAAGTTGTTTGACGAAAAACTGGGGAACGATGAACGAGATACAGATTTTTGAATATTTAAAAACTGGGGGGAAAAAGGGGCAAGGTGTAAAAATGGGTGGTTATGCCCCTTTTTCCCCCCAGTTTTTAAATATTCAAAAATCTGTATCTCGTTCATCGTTCCCCAGTTTTTCGTCAAACAACTTTTTCTGTCTTAGAAAAATCAGTTCTACAACATATCAAAATTTTTTTTCCCTCCGGAGTCTGACTTTGATTTCACAGGCTTGCATTACAATGTACTGTAAAACCTACAGTATTTCTGCAAAAGAAAATAAGAAGTCATATTTCTTTGATAATAATCATAATGAATTAGATTTTCTAATTAAGGTCCTGTAAATTTGTAATAAAGAAACAATTTAACATTAGCAAATTTAGCCACTTTGTTTATAACCTCTATTTCAGAAATGTCCTTATTTATAAATTATTAGCAAAAAGTACCATTTGCACTAAATGTGTTGAAAATTAAATCCAAGTTTTTGAATTTGGAATTTTTTACACGTATACAGTAGAAGTGCTTTTTCCAGACACCCAAGATGTCATACTGTATCTTTAAAATCTCCCGCAACCATAGCAAAGCTGAGGTAACAGTAGATGTCCTTTTCTGGAAAATTAAAACTCCCTTAGAACAATGCCTAGTGACTTGTAAAGGATTTTGGCTTCCTACTTTTTTAACGTATACAGTAGAAGTGCTTTTTCCAGCCATCCAAAATGTCATGCTGTATCTGTAAAATCTCCCGCAACCATGGTAAAGCTAAGGTAGGTGTCCTTTTCTGAAACATTAGAGCTCCCCTAGAACCCTGCCTAGGGGCTTACAAAGAATTTTGGCTTCTTATTTTTCTCATTTAAAATATCTCAAATATCTCAAATTAATTTCTATGCTCTGTAATACAAAGCAATGTATGGCAGAATATGCAAATTATATCAGTAGCATCATAAAGCATACCTCTCAAAATACAATATAAACAAATTATCACATCTAAAATTTGCCTTCTGGTACCAGTATATGAACATAAACAAAACAATTATGAAAAAACTAGGCCAAAAAGAAATTATAACTGTACAATTAGCTGGTAATTGGAGGTGGATGCTGATATGATAGTACAGATGTTGTAAATGCGTAGGTGGTCTACTATAGCCAAGCAAGTAGCGAGAAAGCCTATACAGCCGTGTGCCACAGACTAAAAAACAATCAGGCCTAGGTGGTCTACTACATTATGTATTTTTGTAGACAAGAAGCCAATCAAGACAATCTGATTATAATCTGGGATTTCTAAAAATAAATATTAATCGATGTACAGCACAAAAATATTAGATACAGATTCACTTGGTACAGTGCCAAAAGAGCATTTGTATTTCTAAAAAAAAAAACCGGTTTAATAAATAGGTCAAAACAAAACATTTTGTTCCCAGCAACTGTTTGAATGATATTGTACAACTTGATCATTTTCAGTACCACATTTGGAGTAAGGTATTGTTGTTGAATCTGGGAAAATTGTGGGGATGTCTTTAGCTGAAAAACATCTTTTCAAACTCTGGTAGGGCATGTTATGGGGCCAAGTACTATAAGATAGTGCTGACACGACAACAGTAGGTTGGCAGATATCTCAACATATGGATGGAATAAGTAAATGTCTTACCTGGTAAACCCAACTTCCTCAGTGAATATATTTTCCACACTTTCTATCATTCTTGGCGAAATAACAAAAAATTCCACATCAGGAAATCGTAATGAAAAATTTCGAACTAGTTCATAATAATTATCAGTTCGGTTTATTGTGTCGTTGTATAGCCACGGTATAATTGCCATGTTCGTTCGTGTTTTACCATCCACAAAAATTTCATCAACTCTTTCAGTCTGGTTCATTTTCTCCATGTTTACGTGACCAATCACACGTATTGTGGTCCGTTTACCGACGTCATTTTCAAAACCACGGGTAGGTGCGTCGTTCATGCGAATAACACATTTAGCGCTATCGATATCGACACCTGCACTACGGTTTATCAGTCGACCTGAACTTGTCACCAGGGCACATGTGCTACACCTCAAGGTTAAAGGCTAAAATAAAGAACAACAATTATATTTTATTTTTGCTTGCTATATAAATAAGTGACATTTAAATATATAAGGTCAGTCTGAATACTAAATTTTCTTTTATCTCGTACTTATGGCCTGGTGTTGCTGTCATTATTGATAAGGATTGGTAAGGAGCGGCCATAATATTTATTTTATTTATAAAGCCATGAAATACTTGCACCTACAGTAGGACTAAAACGCAGTGTGAACTATTTCACAGCACGTCAACACTGCAAGTTGATGTACAGTATCGGTATGTGGTCGGTATGTGGCTTAAACTCTGCAAGGTGTAGAAAGTGTATGAAAATCACTGCGCTAAACCATTTTTAAAGTTAACTCATTCATTCAATGCCTATGGACACAATTCAAAACAAAGGTAGGCCTACTGTACTCAATAACGTCTGGGATTCGAAACCTACCGGTATTAAAAACTTTGAAATACTGTATCTGATCATGCGATTGAATATCAATCAATATTTCAGAAATAATGAATCTTTACCACGTTTTTCACCGGTAGTGCTTCGCTAGGCCCGGTGTTTTATTATTATATTTTTACTGCACATTTTCACTGCACCATGGGAACCCCATGGTCTTTATTTGCGGGGAGACCTGTATACTTATTTATATACCTCCTTGATGAAACCTCACTTCTTTTAGTCAGTGTTTGTGAATAATCAACAGTATATCACAACAAACCGTGATGTTAACATACTACAATGTAAACAACCAAAGCGAGCACACCCTCTATTTCATTTAGTACCATCATTTATACTTGAATTCAATTCTATTTTTATTTATTTTGTGGCTACAGTTATTGTGTTGTTTTATTACTGGTTATATTTAATATATAAATATTTTCAATATACCAATATCTGTTATTACAGTACTACTTTGAAGTTGTTACAATGAGCTCAGATTATTACATTATTACAAAATGTATATCAAAGCCAGAATTATTTTAAATTATCATCATAAAATCATGAAAACATTTAAAAAATTTAAATAAACATTAACTCAGTTTTATAAATCTACACCAAATCTTTGTTTTGCTATTACTGTTTATTTATTTATTTATTTTGTTTATTTATTTGTTTATTATTATATTTAGTTTTTATGCATGCATGAAAACTTGTCCCTCATTCTAAATTTCATAGAAAGGTATCAATTTATGTTCTGCTTTGACCTTCTATAATGTTTACATTTACACAGCACTCCAAACAAATTGGATGTAATTGTTACTGATTTCAACGACGTTTTAAAAAGTTAATTCTATGCATTAGTCAGACAAAAATATAGAGATCTCATGAACGGCTCTTATTCACAGCCTGTCTCAATTAGTGAATGCTGGTCAGGTACTGGCTTCCTACGAAATGACATGCGCTCAATTATCTTAATATGAAATGTTAAACAAGGCAACGGAGAAGGGCTTGGTTTCTCAAGATGTACAGTGTAAATCTATCTTAAGATTCAATAAATATTTTATTAAGATGTTCAAGCATTGGTAATTAGAAATGTTGGGTCCGATTCCATAAACTTATACCGTCAGATATTATAGCAAAAACATACTCTACAAAAATAAAATAATACAAATTTATAATTTGCAATTTAGTAGAAAGATATATTATTCAGCATTCAGTAAATTTATTTGTCATATGTAAAATATTGTACATTTTTTTTGTTTTATTTATTCGACCTCACAGAGGCAAATATATAAGAAAATATCAATGAAATAAAAGATTGCCGGTGACGGGAAAAGGCCAACAAGTGAACAAATCACACCTCTGATAGCGGCCACCCGGAAAACATTTAAAGGATGTGGGCTTGTACCGAGGGTGGGCTTTTACCGAGGTACTATGGTAAATTTTTCCATCAAAAACATACTGAATAAATTTGCTTTATATAATTTCCTAATTGAATCATTACATTATTTACATATAAAAACAAGGGTTTTGCTAAACCTGCAAACCTCCAAAAAATCACCACAAACCCCATCCAAACCTTGTGGTAATGATTGAATCACATAGTATAGGACTCAACTTGGTACCTCAATAAAAAAAAATCTGAATTTTATGTTCGTCACAAACTATTTTTGGGGTAAAAAGGCCATTTTTTGTATAAAAAAATTGCTAAGCCCCGCAAACCCCCCAAAACACAGTGCAAACACCATCCAAACCCTGTGATAGTGATTGAATCATGTAGTATAGGACTCACTTGGTATATCAGTAAAAAAAAATTATAATGTTCCATTCGTAACAACCTACTTTTTGGGTAAAAATGCCATTTCTTGTATAAAACATTGCTAAACCCCGCAAACCTCCAAAAACACAGTGTAAACCTCATCCAAACCCTGTGATAATGATTGAATCACATAGTATAGGACTCAATTTGATATCCCAATAAAAAAAATCTTAATTTTATGTTCGTCACAACCTATTTTTGGGGTAAAAAGGCCATTTTTTGTATTAAAAAAATTGCTAAACCTAGCAAACCCCCAAAACACAGTGCAAACCTCATCCAAACCCTGTGATAGTGATTGAATCATGTAGTATAGGACTTACTTGGTACAATACGGAAGAGGCTCTACATCAGTGAAATTCAGATGATATGCATAGAGTATAATATTAAGAATCAATCAAAAAAAAAATTAATATTAAAAAAATATAAAATAAAATTAATCTTATACTATCACTAGTTTTTCTGCTTACTGTAGAGTGTATGTAAAACAATCATAAATTTAGAAAGGACCTATTTAGAACCAATCTTCAAATTAAATTTTAAAATTAAATACCATAGAATCCCTCCTTTGGGACACCCCTATTAAAGGGAAAAGACACTTTTTCATCGACAAAACCGAGGGAAGTGTATCTTTTAACACTACAGCCAACCCCTATTTTGGGGACACTTTTTTTGGTCCCAAAGCTGTCCTCTTTAGTGCATAAAATATGAAGAAAACTAAACGTACCTTTTCTGAATCCACCTTGAAGTATCCATCAACTTGAAAATCTTCCGATGAATTAGATTCTAATTTTGCTTTCTTTAATGTCATTCTCCTGACTAGACTCGAAATAAGGTTATCAATTTTTTCTAAGTTTAGTTTCTGCGTTGTGTTTGGGGGTAATGTACCACCATCACGTATCCTTGATAAAGTCTTATTTCTAAAATCATCTTTTGCTAAAATATTGGGGATAAATTTATTAGATATATTGGCTTTGGTAAAATTATCTAACGTTCTATAAACATAATTAGGTGGTAATGAATTCGGCTTTTCTATGGCATACTGATCCGGGTTCTGCATGATTTGCGATGCAAATCCCACACCGGATGGAGCAGCACGTTTATGCTCCTTTTTTGCGAGTTCATTTGCGAGAATATATTCCTTTGACCAAACTTGGACTATGTGTATTCTTGGTGTTTCATTATAGCTGCTTGCCATATATAGAAATAAGGTTGCAATTAAAACTGCGTTGCACATAACTAAAACAGTAAAAGTTCGGAATGTCTGTAAAAAAAGAAAAAAAAATATATTAGGCCAAATAACATTTATTGTTATTTTAATATCCGGATTTGAAATTATCTTTTGGAGAGGGTATTGCTATTTACTACCCTATACTACCCATTATATAAATGAATAACCTTTAACATTTAACCTATAAACAGCAGTGGCTTAGCTATGGGCTTCACAGCTAGTGCAAAGCACAGGGCCCATACAGTACATAAATAGACCAAATATAATTTGAATAATAAATATATATAAATTGAAGAATAAAACAGCCAGCAGGCCCCTCAATAATATTAGGTTTTTAGAGAAGTAATTATTGATTATACTAGATTAAAAAAGATATACTGTACAGTAGAAATTTAAAAAAAAATATTGATAATTTAAAAACAAGACAGAATATTACTGTAAAAATAAATTTTCTCATAATAAAAATAAAAGAGCAACCTACTGTAATTGAGTTAAAATTAAAATCTAGGTTTGACATCCTCCATTATGTATATTCACTTGGCAATAATAATTATTACTATAAAAAATTAGTTCAATAATAAATAAATAATAATAATAATAATAGTATAATAATAAATTGCCAATAATTCTTCCAATCTCACTGCTAAGTATGCAGACCATACTAAAGTGCTATCAAATTAAAATAGAAGTCCAAAGGTTAATACAAAGTTCAAATGTCATAATATTTAATAAACCCGAGTCTGTCAGTATCCGCAAATAGTAGATAAGCAACAATCGATGTACTGCATAATAAATATTGTTTTTCGAAGAATGAAAAGGGATTTACAGAGAATAACCATTCTTCTGTGAATGATTATAATTAACATTTATAAAGCGCTAACAAATGCAGTGCCTCTAGGAGCTTCACATCAAATTATGAAACAAAAGCAAGATGAATTATTAATAATAAAGGCGTGGTGGTACTGTAGTACTAATGAGAGTCCAGAAAGTAGTAAAATAACGTGAAGATGAATTTCTGGCTCCATCATTACACATTTTCATGTGTAATCTGTTTAATGACACTACGATGGGAATTGAAATGTTGTTCCAAAGCGTTATTTTTCTTGGAAGTATTTTATTGTAATTTATAAAAATTCAAATGCAATGAATAGAAAATGCAGTTGGTGTGCTTAATAATAATAGCAAATATGGGGTTTGCATGCCACAACTACCATCAGTGAGAAAAACAAGAAAAATGACTTTTTTAATATGAATTCAAGTTCTCTAAATTACTGTACTATATATAAGCTTTCAATTAATAGGTCATTATACGGGAATAAACTTATTTCCAAATTTATGAGTAAAAGTATTACAGCTTCTCTGTGCTATATCAGTGTATATCATATTACAATACTATAAAATATTATATTGCACTTTCATAATTGTGTCTTTAATATTTTTGTCAGACATTTTGGGAACCTGCCTGTGGATCTCGGTGACAAATTTACTTACCAATTTTACACTTCTTAAAAACGGCATCAAGAAGCATTTTATTGGTTAACCTTGAAGTATTTTTATATGATTTTGCTGTTTTTATCTTTCAATCTAAATCATTTTAAAATATTAAATACCATAAAACTTTGAATTGAAAAAAGCCCTGGGCTCCTTTTTTTGTCAACTTTTGATGGGCTTCTCTTCGAGATGGGCTTCTTTTCGAGTCTACTTTTGCAAAGTAAAGAGGGAGCTTCTTTTCAAAATGAATGCTGTAAATTTTGTAAATTTATACTATAAAACAAAAAAAAGGCAACTGTAACATAGTTTATATCATGAAGTGTATTTAAATGGCATTAAATTACCTAAACTATTGTATAAACTATGCTTGTTTTTAATTAATTTTGTTTTCTGAAATCCATGTACTGTACAGCGTACCCACAGTGTTTGTACTGTCATCCTTATCAAAAAGAAGCCTACGCTATCTCGAAAAGAAGCCCACGGGCTTCTTTTCGAGATGGGCTTCTTCTTGAGGCTACTTTTGCAAACTAAAAATGGGGCTTCAATTCGAGACACTGTAAAAAGATTCCACAGGGTTTCTACAGTAGGTCAACTGAGAATACTGTATACTTACATCAATACTAATCACGTCTAATACTAAACATCAATAACATTAACATCAAAATCAATATCATACTTATAATAGCAAACATCCCTATGAACATGAGATATCTTCTTGGCCAAGTGCTATAGTATACTATAAGGCCTATAGAGCAAAGTACTATTTAATGTTAAAATCGTTTCAAATATCAACATTATTCATTTTACACATATATTTATAATTTTATACAGTAAATTACACAATTACTGATACCTTTTATACTGTTTAAAAAACTAAAAATATACAAAAATAAACGCATTTATGAAAGGAAAGGCCAAAAATACAGAATTATCAGCAATAACGTGAAATATCACAAAAGGGAAATGAGGAGGAAGACACTCAAGGTTCAGGTAGCCTCTGACTTTAGGTCAAATGAGGTTAACCTCCTAAAAGCCAAAATTAAAATTGAGGTACAGTAGTCAGAAAAATTGTGCATGCCTGTACATAATAATAATAATAATATTTATTTGACATTACACTTTTACAACAGTGGCACAAAGAGGAAAACAACAACTTAAAGCTAAAAAAATGAAAGAACTTAACTGCAGAAAATACAATTTAGAGTAGTGGATTGTATTTAGAATTGTGTTATGTCCAGTGAAAGCCAACCGACAATAAACAATCCTTTAAGACATACAACACAGGCGTATATATAAAAAAATGGATATTAAAGGTTGTGACAACATTAAGCCTACAGTACAAACTAACGTGATCAATACCGTAGACTTATTCTAAGTCAGTTTTGACTTACAGTATAATGAAAGAATATTTTTCTCCCCCAAAATTGCTAAGTGGTTTCTCACTGAAAGACCAGTTGGAAAGGTAATTATGCTACTAGAGTACACACAGTAGCAGTTGAAAAATGACACCACACTGTTACTGTATACAGTTTTTAATCTTTCACTGACCCCACTATACGCTATTGTAACCACCACATTCCTATGCTGTACAGTATACTATAAAAACAGCATTCTCCAGCCATACAAACTAGCACACAGCCAGTCATATATCCTTTACACTACGCATCTGCACGGTGTGATATTTTTTAAAGAATTGACAAGTAAGAGTTTGAAACCAATCATAAAATACCAAACATTAGTTATCATGGTAAACAAACAATTTACTACAACAGCCACTAAAATTTATGCATTTCTTATTGGAATTATGGTATTTAGCATAAATTTCTTGATTAATGAAATATTAATTATTATGCAAATGAGCAATTAGCATTTTCACACACGTACTTGTACCAAAAACAATAGGCTCTGTCTTCTTAATATCATCTTGCATTCTGCCAAGTTTGAAACCAATCGGACTTTATCCTAACTTTAGTTATCGTGGTAAAAACAAATGACCAACGACGACAACAACATGCAGAACAACACAGGTAAAAACAATAGCCTTCTTGATCAACATTCCATGCTAAAAACTTACTGTAATCGATACATTTATTTGGAGAGAACACTGCGAAATGATGGCTATGAAGACCATCGCTGTAGGGGATGTATTTCCTTAGCAGGTGGCAGATATTTCAAAACCCGGACATACTGTAACTTTGTTGTGGACATTTCAATACCTGACGTCTATTTAAAAATGTCCCCGGTTACAAAATTTTGAGGGCCTAAAACATCACCTTTTTTAATAACTCGCCCTTAAGAATACTAGAAAAGACGCCCATTTCTGCTTCTTAAAGAAAATGGGCATACAACACTTAAGGCGCGCACTCACCGAGCCCGAAGCCATTCAGACTGCCACCAACAATCAGCAGATGGCGTCGCATCATCTACTGTAGAGCGCTCACAGAAAGCGGATTTGAATTCGGCTTCAGGCATAGGCTGGGCTTACAGCACACTCACTCATTCCTAACTTTTATTGAGATGCCAAGTTGAGTCCTACACTACTGTACGTGATTCAATCACTATCACAAGGTTTGGATGGGGTTTGCTGTGTGTTTTTAGAGGTTTGCGATGTATTTTTAACAAAAAATCAAGATTTTACCCCAAAAATAGGTTATTATGAACATACAATTTATTATTTTTTTTATTGAGATACCAATTTGAGTCCTATACTACATGATTCAATCACTATTACAAGGTTTGGCTGTGTTTTTGGAGGTTTGCAGTATATTTTTGAGGTATTTTTAGCAAAAAAAAAAGATGTTAAGAACATAAAACTTATTTGTTTTTTATTGAGATACTAAGATGTGTCCTATACTACGTGCTTCAATCACTATCACAAGTTTTGGACAGGGTTTGCTGTGTTTTCTTGGAGGTTTGCAGAGTTTAGCCATCCCCAAAGTGAGGATGATTTGACTATTCTGGAAAGATTTTCTGGCCATATATTGTCTTCAAAGGTCAGCCCCTCCCTCTCCATCTCCCTCCACAAAAAAAAAAAAAAAAAAAAAAAAAAAATCAGAAGGAATGAGAATTATAATATTTATTTGATCTTAACACATCTAGTCAGCATTTTTAGCTACAGCTTGAATTATGAAAATGTTAATAGATCATTAATAAAAGTAAACTAAATAATACTGCTACCATTAGAAAACTTGTTATTACTACCATCAGAACTATTATTCAGACAATATTGCACTTAAATACAAGCTCAATAATGGTCTGGTGACCTTGCATTAATAATATTGTTATTACTATGTTTATTCAGTATACAGTGCTAGTATCATGCTGCCATTGAAAAAAATTCACATGAATGTATTAATTAATGAAACTCTGAAATTTGTACTGTGGGACTGATGCCAATTGAAAACAATACTACTGTTTTTTTTGGATGCTATAATACTGTACAACTGAGGGCTTACTGTATAATACGTCTCTTATACACATCTAGATGTGTATAAGAGACAGGGCCTATAGAGCAAAGTATTAATAAAAGTAAACTAAATAAT